AATTATCGAGCTCCGCGATTTTTTTCGTACAGCTCAAAAGAGTTCAGCGCCAGAACAATGTTTGCTAAATCGCGCGCGCCGAATGCGCCGAACGTAGTTCGTTATATTCCTGTAATCTTTTATTTAAGCTCACACACACACATATCCTTGATGATTAAAATGAATCCGTCTATTTACCTTCTCAGTTCCCATCAAAGAGCGGAGAGAGAGTTATCGAGCTTTCGCGCAATTTTTCATACAACTCAAAAGGATTTCGTGATCGAGTTAAATTGGAAAATTCTGCTACACGAAAAGAACGTGTTGCCTCCGGGTACACTGGACAAATTTGCTACTGGAATCGGCCGGTCACGCGTGCCGACCATCAATTTCATTGCACATGCATTGATCGCGGATAAATAAAATTGTTGGCTCTCGACGGTGTAACTACGACTAGAATTTCGAAATTCGTACTTTAATGAATCCGCATAAATAATACATGCGATCATTGTCGCGATGCGAATGGAAAAGCAACACGCATGTTACATGGACAGCATTTTCGGCTGCAAATCGGTTACAAAACTCGCGCTCGCACATTTTTTACAATTCCTTATCGATTATTATGCACCCTTCGGTATTGTACGATCAATTTGTCAGAGTAACGCCAACCGATCGCGTTTAAGGGGGACGAGAATAGGGAAAGTTCAGCACGCTCGACGGAATCCGAAAAGAAACCTCTCTATCTCCCGGCATGACGCTGTTAAAATATAATCTCTCGGGCGGAAGTGAACGCAGGAATCCATTCATCGACGGAGAGCGACAAGATGCGTCATTGATCAAGCTACAAGCTTCGCTATCGTTTTTACCAATACCACAATTTGTACACCAGTATTTGTTATTAAACTAACAGCTCTCACAAAGTACTATTGATAAACTTTAGTCATTTATCGCAATCATGTAATAAATATTATAAAAATATAAAGCGATTTTTAGTTTTAGAATTTAAAATAGGTCGCAAAATATTTTTCACTGCAGAATTCCATCAAAAATAACTGTTTTTTAATCAGAAGTCGTGACAGTTCTTAAATTCTAAATTCCGTATTAATTTCGTGATAAACAAGTTTTCCGATTTTAATTATATCAAATATCGTCTGTCTCTTTCCATGAAAAATCAATATCTACTAGGTTATTTCAACCGTAGACAGAGGATAAAAAGTGGACGAAAACAAAAGTGGTTTTCGATCTTCATACATCACACATACTCCTGGCTTTATACAGAGTGGCGACGCGTTTGCTCTCTTCACGTTCGGCGCAGATATCGATTTGTATTTGTCCATAAGTTAATGCGGCGCGGCACCGCGCATGTGAAATTGCATAACACTCGAGGGCCAAGAGTAACGACAAAAGCACCGCGCCAGAGAGATCCGAGAAGTCGAGGAAGGGTATAGTGCTTCGCTTTTCGTGGCAATGTGCCACGTATCCGCCTCACGTTCGCTACCAAATTACGTAGCGAGGCACAAGCGGTATAAGCGCGCAACAGGAAGACGTACCGAATCAGTACAAATAGCTTGATTCGCAGAATACTAGAATAGTATTCCAGACGGCGAACAGCGGTAAGCGGCTCTTAATCAGAACCGATGTAACCGCTCACCTATAATCGGAAGCTACACGCGACGTCGCCTCGGCGCAGTTATCCTCTCGATTACGATATGCAATGTAATTTGAGGCGAAGGTAATTTCAAATCGAGAGAGTGGGGAGCAAAATGGTTGAATTTATTACTGAATGCTGGAATAGTTCGGGCTTTTCATTTTTAGACAAGCGATTTTAAATTGAAAATGGGAGCAGAATTGTTGAATTTATTATTGAATGTTGGATACAAATAGCAGAGAAATTTTTATTCTGCAGCTTTTAGGGCTTTTGACTCGCATATATTTCGTATTCATACGCATACATAATATAATATCGCTTCTCCATTTTAACGTTGCAGTATTACGGCGCGCGATACCGTCAATCGTACGGTTACCACTAACGGTGAGCGTAAATTGTGAATTCTCGCGCGACGTAAAACACGGGCGCGCGAAACGTAAGAATTTTTCAGCGATACCTTTGTCGCGCGCGGTCGTCGGAAAATATAAGTGAAAATTGGGAATCGAGGAGGAATTTCGGAGACTCCTCTCTTACTCTGCGCAACGTCGCGCTCCTCCTTCTCTGTTTTCCCACCCGCGAATCTCCCGATAGCGAGCGAGTCTACGTGCGCTCAATAATTCGTGACTTTGTCGAACACGCGATTCCTCGTGAATCTTTCACGTATGCGCCGCTGGGAATGCGGCCGTCGCAGAGAAGTCAAACTACTTGCGCCGAAGATCCACGAGCATTGCTCTACTGAAATTGCCAGCTCTCGGCGGAAACGAACGGTGGCCGGAACGCGGTCGCATGCTCAACGAAGGGGCGATCCACGAGGCTCTATGTCACCGCAGTGAAAGTGCGCTTTATATTTAAACGCCGCGGAGACATCGCTCAGAGTGCTGTATTTTCGATGGAATTGTCCCGTGGTCGAAGTCGACTGGCCAAATCCTGTAATATATTCTCGTGACGCGAACCAAAGACAAAAGACGTCGACGTTTCCCTCCGCTAGCGTCTTTCCTTTAATCTTCGCGATGTTACATCGCTATTGCCGGTGAAAGCGTCAATTTTCTGACGTGTTGGTAAAATTTAGCAAACATCAGATTTCACACGCTGTTGTGAAACAATATATCATCGACGGGATTACGTAAAAGATAACGTCGTTCTGGAGAAATTCTTTTTCATGATAAAAAAAATTAATGCCTTAACGCAGCACTTTAAAACACGCTTTCGAACGAATGAAAAGGTTAGCGAGAGGATTAATACGCCGGCACGTCAATCGAGATGAAAACTGTTAACCCAGCCCGTTAAACTGCTGATGAATTTCCAACGACGCGCTGTACACGTCCCGCGTAAAATGCACACGCGCGAAACAAATGTGCGGGCTGTTATACGCCGGAGGGTCCTCGCGACGGAAATCGCTATCGGCCTGCGAAAAAATCAGTAGTCTGCCCAACGGGGGGGAAAGAGAAAGAGAGAAAGAGAGAGAGAGAGAGAGAGAGAGAGAGAGAAAGAGTAGAAAAACAGAAAAAAGGGAAAGAGAGAGAGAGAAAAAAACATTCGTATCTCCGCGAGTTCGGCTCTCAATCTCCAATGCGACGGCGTTGTCCATCGCGCGGCACCGTCGATCCTCTTTCCACCGGTGGATTTATGGAGAACGATGCATTACGTAAATTGCGAACGCCGCCGCGGGCGATAGGGGTGAAGAGTAACAACGGCGGGTTGCGTTGTTCGAATCGCGTTGCGCCAATCGGTATGTCACGCCGGGCCGGCGGGGCCGGCGGGCGGCCGGTCGGTCGGTCGGTTGGTCGGTCGGTCGGTCGGTCGGTCGGTCGGCTGTCCGGCCGCGACGTGACGTCGCGTTGCGTCGGACCTACGTCGCAGATAACGTTTTGACCCGCGTCGTCGGATGATGTAGCGGCCCGGCACCGCCCCAAGTACATTCCCTTGGGCGCGCTCCTGCAATTTTGCAATCAAAAGTAGCGAAGGCTATTTCGAGGCGCGACGGCGCCGCGACTCTCTGTGTCAGGTGTTTCGCAGTGCCGCCAGAAATCCAGAAGCAGAATACGTGGACGCGTCGGGGGGATAACACGAGCGCAGCGTCTCTTTAACGGTCTGATTGCAATTGACGTGTTTGTAATCCGCCGCATTGCAATTGGGATTGACTCGATTTCTGCCAGGATTAATATCGCTGTAAACGAATTCCGGCGAGCATCCGAGGGCAAAAAAAAAAACGTCCGAAACTGACGCGCGACCGTTTTAACATGGAGCTGCATATAGCGAGCGAAAAATAACCCGAAAGGGGCGCGCGGAATAGTTGCACGGCGCGGACGTTTTTTTTTCTCCTCCTCTCCCCCTTCCCGCGAGCGCGAATCTGGTGGCCGGCTAAATTTAAAAAGCGACCTTAATTTCGCGGGCGTTTTGTATCGCGATAACGGCGCGCGATCGCGTCGCGCGCGTTGTGTAATCCCGATTTCATAACCGTCATTATTTTCGTAGTGACTCCGACGGGGGCGAGCAACGGCGCTTTGTGGCCGCGTAACGGACAATCGAGGTCGATGCATCGATGCAACGCATGCATGCGTGCGTTGAGCGCGACGATAAAACGTGACTGTCCGGCCGATGACGATATCGGCTACGGGCGGCAAACAACCGGTCGGGCAAATATTTCGCAATGACATTTCTGCCGCCCGTACACTCCCGTCTGTCCCGCCACACCCTGGCCCACCTCGGTATTATTAGCTGGGATTTCAGGATGGTCTTAATTACGTTTCCCCGCCTCCTCCCCCCCCCTCCCCCGCAGGTGATGCGAACGTGGCGAATGGCCCATTAAACCGCCCGATCGCAGTCTGTACAAATTGAAAATCATAAATCGCTGATCAACCGCGGGATCGACCGCGAATGATAATTGGCCCCGTGCTACGCGCCGGCTGGAAGAAGCTCAGGGAGGTCGGCTGGCTGATCGAGTTACCGAGGCTGAAACGATACGCGAAGGGAATCTTTTTTCCTGCGCCGAATCGTTCACGACCGCAACTTTCGAGATCACCGTGTATATCTATATATCTATATAGATATATATATATATATATATCTTCCAGCTGCAGCGACTGTACTTCATCACAGGTCGCTCCTCGTGAATTGGACCGTGCTCTTAATCGCATTCCGATAACCGATACACGACTGGAATAGTAGATGACGTCTGAGAGTAGCTTGCGATGATTAGCGGAATTCTCGCCCTCAATTGCTACATCGATTCCAGCATTCTTAGATAGCATAATTCATGATTGCAGACACGATTTTAGACTTAATTTCAGACGGATTTTTCATATTGCAAGATCAAATATTGCAAAAAAATACCGCGACAATTTCTCGCTGATCAGAATTTTCTTCATCTTTACAGATAATACTTTCCTAAACTCTTCTACGAGGGTCCTGTAAAATATTCAACGGCATAATATCTAGGACGCGAAAAGTGAGATTAGGATAATGACGAAGACTGGATATTGGCGCTCTTGGAGAAGAAGAAGCAAGCTCCTTTAAGCGAAAATTCAAATCAAAGTACGAACACTCCTTTATTTAACACCGAGAAGTAAAGAATTTTCTAACCAAATCGTCGCTTTGAACTTAGTTAACGCGACATATTTAAACTCGGCAGCACAAAAGCTGCGAGAAAATATGACATTTGGTTAAATTCGTTACCGGGAAAATATTCTGAAATTCATCAGGCCATTCGTTCCTGAAGTTTCGTCAAAACTTTACGAAATCCTGCCGGTTAATATTTCAAACGTAGAAAATAGAAACTCGCGCGATATTTACACATTTGTGATTTAATAGTTGATTTTTATAAAAATATAAAAGCTCTAAAAAGGTTTTTGCTGTGTTTCGCGTCGATCATTTTCTAAAATTTGATAAAATTTGCGCGAAGCACTTCACAGAATAATATTTAAAGCACGTAGGCTGAAACAGAAGTAATAATAATACGATCTGGATATTGGCATATGGCGATTCGCCGCCCGTACGCGAGCACCCGTGTTATCGAGCAGCAGGCACGCCAGTCCGCGCGACTCGATTGCAGCGACATTTACTTTAAGACAATTTACTTTAATTAACGTTAATTAAAAATTAACATAAAAGATACCGATTCTGTATAGCGTTGTTATAATTTGTAGCTCATTGAAAATTTAAAATCTTCCAACATTTTAATTTTCTACGACAAAGTAAGTTTCGCATTATAAAAAAGCGAGCAAAACCTCAAAGACATAATTTTAATAATAATAATAATGTTTCAAGTGATAACTTTTCAAATGCAATAAAAAGTAATCGATTAAGAAATTAATTAATCTGCAGAAAATTAATGAAAAGGTTTGATTATAAACCACTTTGTATACACGATCATCGGCGCGCGCTGTAAGTGTGTTCATGAATTTTATTAAGTACACGCTCGACAAGTCACCGACAATCACTCGTTTTTTTTTACCGTTTATTTTAGTCCCTGCGAGCCAAAACGCGTCATCGCCTGTCGATATACTCGCTTTACGGTCAACGCGCGCGTAATTGCGAAGCACGACAAGAACGATCCTGTTATTGTGAATGGGTTGACAGCGCCGATCATTCTTTGATACTACAAATACCGCTACGTTCTACGCGCTTGTTTATTCGTGACCTAGATATACAAACAGATTCATCTGCGAGAACACCTCCGAGTTATGACAATATTTTGCTCTACCCGATTGAACAACACCGCGAGCAAGTTCAGCTCGCTTGCTCGGTGTATTCTGATTATTTGGAAAGAAAGCAGTCGATATTTTGCATTCTTAAAACAATGCCGCAGCGCGATCGTGACAATTATTTTTTACGAGATTTAACAAATAATTTAAAGCAATGTTTAGCAAAGTCGACAAATCCATTTTCTATTATTCTCTATTATTCATTCTCCATTGAAATGACAGAAGTAAGCTTGTATTTTAGCAAATATTCACTTATAGAATATATTTAGAATTAGATTCCCGCCTTGGACTATTTGCGTAAAGTCCGATTTGTACAGACGAAAAGTAAACAGGCTGTATTTGAAGACACTATTTCTTATGCACAACTAACTTTATTTCAACCACCCGTTCTCAACCTTGTCGCACACGGTTGCGACCGCAAACATCTTTTTCAGAAGGTGTTAAGGCACGTAAAGCATATTTTCTTTTCTGAACGAGGTAACGCCGCTTTTGGTACCCACAGAACGCTTTCTCGCCTCCGCACGGCTGTCGCTGGCTTTTCGTATTTTCCGCTAGCGCAGCTATTGTTTGTTTATGAAATTATCCGCGACCCAATTGGCCTGGGCGGTTTCGTCGTCTCGCTGGGAGGCTGATCTTTCGGTCGGTTTACTGCGCCGCCGATGGTTGGCAACGCAATGTTATTTCGCACCATCGCCAGGAATCCGCAGGAAGAAAGCAGAAAGAATAAGACGGCGCAAAAGTAGAAGGCGGTTTAGGTGGATACACGGGATGTCTCACACAGTAATATGCACACATACACACACTCTCCCTCTTTCTCTCGGCGATAAGTATAAAAAATTAAAAAAATTATTTTTGCTTTTAGTAATATCGAGCATTAATAAATCATGTATTTTCATTAATTAAACTATGATGATAAAATTTTACTCTGCTCGGTCGTAATAAAATTTTAATATGAGGTAATTTTTATTTTGAGGCAGATTTAAAGTTTAAAATAAAAAAATATGACGTCAAATACAATTATTTACAGAATTGCTTTCAAATTGTGCCATTCAGGCTTAATTTATTTTTCAATTCTTTTATCGTTTGCAGGAAGATCAAAGAATTGATGGACGGAAGAGAGTACGGAGATCCCAGGACACGCGTGACGAGAAGTGTCAGAGGTGAATGACACAACGACGCGATAACGAAAAAGACGCGAGTATAGTTACCGCTTTCTATATAGATCATCGCCTAGGAGCACCGCGATTATTCTCAATGGTTGAGTTTACGCCACGCCATGCCATGTTTAGGCCTCAACGACGTTTACCCTTCCTCTTAACCCCTCTTGCGAGCGTAAAGCGGGGCTTTCGCCACCGTCGATCTCGTTGCCGCCGGAGCGCGGCGGCCCGTTTGCTCCCTCGCTTTCACGTTTACTGCGCGACGGTCGCATCTTTTTTGCCCCCTTTTTACGCTTCCACTCGTACGCGATATTATTGAAAGATACGGCGAAGCCGAAAGTTATGCAAATAGTATGACATTCAAGAACGATGCTCTTTCCAGCAGCGCTAAATGTAACCGTCCGCTTCTAGATTTTATCTGTAATAATAGTAACGTTACATAATGTAAATGTAAGATGAGAATGTCGTACGGTCATATCCGCGCGTTAAACGTGCGACGTTTCTTTTACACCGGCTTTATTTTCAGCGCACGGGGATACGATGGCGCTCCGCGTTTGTTTCACATTCGAGTAAACACCAACAACGATGTCGCGGATCACGAATGGGATCGTATCTATCGTGATGACCGAGAGCGATGCGCTCGCCGGCGAGCTTTCCAGACGATATTTGTAAATTAAAACTACGCGTGTGACAAAATTACGAGACAACAAGATGAAAATCGTTTCCGCGCAATTTCCGAAGAGTTCACATCCGAAAGAAGGCACGCGGCATGCCCGAGACACACTATACATCACCGGTGACGTCTCTTATCGCATTTCCGCGACGGGCATGTTGGCCGCTATAATATGTTTTCCAGAGCACGTGTACAATCATTTTATTAACCTCCGAGTCTGACAGCGGAGAAAATAATCCCACCGTGTGGATGGCTTTTAACGCATCTCTGGAGGTTACCATATTGCTTCGTTCGCAACCTGCTATTCGGGAATGAAATTTCATTCTCCCGACGCGAGAAAGCAGTCCGGCGACGAGACACAGCGCACTCTCTATAACGGAATGGAGTGGACAACGGCACACACGGCCCGATATTTTGTGCGCGACCGTATTGCACGTGACAGCGGAAGAGATCGTGTTATTCTTCGATTTTAGATTGCGCGCGGGGTATTAATAGTCCGACGTTATTAGCGAATCGATGGAGAATTTGTCGCACGATTCTCGAGAAGAATAACTTTTTATTCGATTCGTCTCCGTTCGCTTCTCCAACTCGATTCTCTAATTCTCTAATTCTTCCGTGTCTCATCGGAATACAGAATCACGCGGGGACGGCGAAGACGATCGATCGTGTGATGGCGTCGTAGCGCAAGGAGTGCACGGGGTCAGTTACACTCGACGTTGGTTTCTAGTGTAAAGACAAGAGTTGCACCGACAACATTTAGACACGCCATGCAACATTTATGTAATTACACCGCCTGTCCGAGTGGTCGATATTAATATTTACACGCGGAAGAAGATGCTGCTCGAAAACGTTACCGCCTAAAGGAATAAAACTGCACTACAATGTCTTTATCATGTATTTTATTTGCGGATAGCTCGCGCAACGTTTTTCCTTTGATGTATTTCGAAACGCGCGTTTCAGTCGGCTTTCAGCGAGTATCAATGGTTGCGGAAATTATATACTCTCTGTTTAGATGAATACATATCGACCGTCCGGAGTGCTTGTATCTTTTTTATTTTCACACATTAATTAAGTTACAATAATTAAAAGCAAGCTTTTGTTCCGATAACTGCGATTCATCGCGCCGCATGCGACTGCAATTGCGCTCCGCGCAAAACAAAATTCCTCGCGAGAATCTTTTTTATTATTTCGACGCGAAAGCTCCCGCTGCTGGTGATTCGAGCGGCGCTTAATGCCCACACGACGCTTGAAAACCGACGGGCAGCTTTATTCTTGTATTCCCGAATAATCGAGGAAATCGGCGCGCAAAGCGCATGTATCGCGACCGATGCGGAAATCTAGCTAATTTGATATCCGAACGACATTCGTGAGAAACACACCGCGGCTCTTACGAATCGCGTATCGGCGACATTACCAAATGAGGTCGACGGAGTGCTTTCGAGCACGCACGTGCCATTTGCGGAAGTAGGAACCGGCGAAGGGCTGGAGGTGAATACGCGGAGAATACACCGGTTAAGGCGAATTTACGCTCATCATTTCGACAAGCATCTCAATTGTATCGTGCAAAGTTAATGCGCGAGAGACACATGGAGCGCGCGCGTGCGTGTGTGCTTACAGTTTTAGCTATAAAATTTGATTTATGTGTGAAACATTAAACGAATTCATCTTCAAGTGCAATCTAATTTGCAGCTCGTTTCGATATAGATTTCTAGCATTGGAAGATTTCCTTGTTAGCCCTATTGTTAGAATGCATTGCTAATTTCACTCTTCATTAATTTTAAGCGAATCAGCTGGGATAATCATCAAGAATGAACCGTGTAAATCCGCCTTCAGCTGCAATGCTGCGGATAGCGGAGGAGCAATGGCCGGGCGGCGACGAAGGACGGGAAGGCTACGTGGAAATTACCGCGCCAGCAGCAGAGCGTCTCTCGTTAAATGCATCCGACTGTTGTTTTATTAAGCGTAAGCGTAATCGCTTTAGCAATGCCGGGCGCAATCGCGGAGCGAATATACTGGCGAATCGAGCCGCGCCGAGACGCGGACTGCATTTCGCGAGCTTGTGCCGTATCGCGCGATCCGCCAGCCGCGGATGCTTCGGTAAGCTCGCTTTTTACGAACCGGCAAACTGGCTCGAGACTTTTACGACAGAAAGAAGACCGATTACGAAGCGCCGAGACAAGACGACGGGCTATTGTCTTGATTACACTGTTGAAGTACTCGAGATTGAAAACAATTTCGAATCAAAACTGGTAAGTCGGTCACGTCGAACTCGTCTGCTAATCAATTTCGCGTGTGGTCGAGGATGCACAGCGAGGATACGTTTCTCGCTTCAATGCCGTTGAAATATTCGTAAAATTGTAATCAGCCCGCGGAACACGCGGTCGGCAAATTTTATGTTTTCAACGAGCGATGAGAATTTTCCGCTATCACGCTGTTCATCCCTCGGGCCCATTGTAATGCGGCTCGAATACGGGGAAATAGATACGCTCTCGCGATGCACGCGGAAAAGCTCGGTATTTTGGCCCGAACGAGCGTTACAAAGGGCGGAGTCCGTGTTCTTATTTCACTGTCAGGAGCGCGAGCGGCGAAACGAGAGACCGAGCCGGACGGTTCACGGTAATTAGTACGCGAAGAACGGGCTTTTTAGTCTTAAACGAACTAGCTTGCCGGGGTTTATCCCGAAAGCGGTGTCGTTAAGCCGCGCGGACAAAGAAACGGAAGGAAAATACGAAAAGCGGAGACGAATGCTGGCTGACTGGCCGACGCGGTGGGCGAGTCGCTTCTTGCGGGACTTTAAAATGCAGCCAATTTCGCGAATGTAAAGACAATTGCCCTCGCGATACATTTTACACGAAATATGCGTACACAAAGGACCAAAAATTTTTAATAAAATCGATATCAATTTTCCGAACGTCGATTAATTTAAAGAAAATTAAATATGCGTCGAAAAATCGCATAAAAGCCGCCGATTGTTCAATCACTGATTACCAGCTACTATAAAATTTTAATAAATTGGTGAAGAAATTTTTTCAATGCGTCCATCAAAATTAAAGCAAATTTTTCAATGAAAAATTTGATAAGACAGAAGTGTTAATCGCGGAAAGATAGATTGATACAAAAGATTCCGGAAGCCTGGCGATAGATCGAAGATCACAACGACGGATGATCCGCGGCGCGTTTTCAACTTTTGGCTCGATTTCACGAGCATCGCGCATTTGTTGCGGAATTATGGCGGCTCGTTTCGCAGGATAAAATGTACACGGACGAAACCGCTTTACGTGGATCCTATCGCGTGACGTGCGAGTGCGCACAGCACAGCCGTGAGATGAAATTCAGCTTCGGGTAATCGAGAAAATCCAGGATCGAGGATATCGCACGCGGAGTAGGTTTAGGACGGAAGTTACCTAAGAATCCTCTCGACCGTAATCCACGTCGTAATCGCCGGCTATACCCACGGGCCTGGCGAGGACCCAACTCTATTTTCTCTTATTCAAACCTACCCCTTCTCCCCCCTCTCTACGCTCTTCCGCCTCGACCAATTTCTGCGCCCCGCTTCACCCGGCACAGCCGAGCGCATCGTTTTTATAGATTCGCGCAAATTCACGGGATGCTTCTGTGCACACCGCGGGGAGACAGCGTTTTAAGGCGAAATTACGATAATTGAGCCGCCGCGTGGAATAGCGGCTTAAGCCGGTAAAAATACAATTTTGGACTATATTGGTTTTCGTGCACAATTATTTCGACGTGAATTATCTTTCTTCATAGAACTGCAAAAATAACGCGATAAAGTAGCTGGATGTTACATCAGATTTCACGAAATTCCTTTTCCTTTCCTTAAAATGAGGAAAATGCAATTTATACCGCTGTGTTGTTGAACGGATGAAATATTCTCCCATTATCGATTGTTCTGTTATTGTTTTATGCATAATAGACCATTATGCGATAATGTACGTCTTCATTAATTGCGGAAACGTATTGGGTATTGCGATACGCTGAATCGTCACGTTTCATTCTCGTCATAAATTTGAAAAAATTTCGTTACTGACTTTTTTTGCAGCAAGACCGATCAAAAAGCTAGTTATAGAGTTATTTAGCGCAGAAAATATTTCGAGAGACACCTGAAATGTCAGTATGCAATTTTCAACATCGTTTTCAATGAATCTATTATTGCATTGTCAGTTCGGCAATTGATTTCTTTAAGACTGATTATTTCATACACATATAAATGTCACCACAATACGGCTTTTCAGGAGTATAACGATTTACACACACGTTGTATAAATATGGGAATGCATGGCGACGCATTGATAATTCAATCCCGATTGGTAAAGGACAATATGCGCACGAGAAAGATACGCACGAACAATGCTATTATATATAACCTGTCGGCTCGCAAACAATCCAAATAATGTATATAATGGCTTTGTATACGAGTAAACTAGACCAACCAATGCTGCGCGTTATTGGTTAATGAGAGATTTCTGTTATTTTGTCAGTGACGCCATTAATATCGATCTGTCCGGTTCGCGGGACTATCTTGTGCAAAATGTCACCGAACTTGAACGAGACAGTCAAAGATTGTTTCGATCTTTCCGCAAATAAAATTATTTAACGCCTTGTGTCTCGACATATCAACGTTAAAATTTCAACAGAGAAAATTACGTAATTCAATTTTATTTAATTGTTTTTACGATAACGGAGATTACATAATAAAATGACATACCGATTATATAATTAAATTTCAAACCGAAATACTTAGTAAACAGACTCCGCAATAATTATTTCTATTACTCTTTTACAACACTAATCGTATTATTCTCGCACGAAATTTTGCACAACACATCATATATGTACAAAAAACGTATTTTTTTATGATAAAAATCAATTATTATTTTGCTCGTACTTATTTTTGCAAACAGAAGTCACCTGTATTTTTAGATATTGCATTTCGCAAGCGACTGTATTTTTATTCAGATATTTCAGCAATGTATATTCAATAAATCAAAATCGAAAAAAGTAGAGCGTAAAGATTGTATGTTCCACATTTACATTATTTACATTTTCCATATTGCATGATAATTATTATGTTTAAAAAAGGATTTTTGCAAAGCATAAATAATGCAGTGTTGATGTGTGTTACGTTGCAAGAAGCTAATAAAATGAACGTTTTCCACAAACGTCGCTCTGCTTTATTATTCTTCAATGTGATAACATATGGCGACATAATATCCGAATCTATTTCAATGCATTCGAGGTCATGAGTAGGTCACATGAGGCGGCCATACTTTCGCCCGGAGCGCTACATCTTTATGATCGGCGAATTTAGATTATGCGCAATAAATTACGTGTATAGAAGGAGATTTTAAAACTCACGAAAAACGGTGCTTTGCTTAAATTATATATAAATTATGTTGAAACATGAAACATTTTTTTTCTCATTATTTTCTCACAATTTTCTCATTATTTTCTTTCTATTTAATTTTACAAATGTTTAATTTAGTTGTATAAATACCTCTTATATAACTAGTTATATAAAAAACTCTTTTATACTCTACAAAAACATTGATTTTCTATAAAACAAAAAAAATACTATCAATAAGAATTTTATTAAAAGAAATACGATATATTTTTATAATGCAGATATATATTGTTTTGGTACAATTGTTTTTCTTCCATTTTTCCTTAATTTGAATATTTAAAAATACAGTTTCACTGAATTAATCTAGAATTTAGCATTTATATCTTTACTTCGTTTATCTTATATTTTTCTCGCACATGTTGACGGTCGGTTCGAGGAAACAATTTTCTTGCCTCTCACACGTAAGTCATTGCATTACCCGACTATACCTTCTTGACCGAAAAAGAAAAAAAAACTTGAGAAAATGAAGACTGAAACACTGGCTCGTCGCATCAGTGCAATGATTTTTTTTTGTACGTGGCACGAACACCGGTTTATCCGGAGATAAAGCCGACGATATCAGATCCGCATACACCGACGCACGTTCGTCAAGACGAGATTCTCTCTCCGTAGCAGCGGTCGCCACGGAGGTATAATATGAAGACACGAGAGGAGAAGACGCGAACTAAACGAGCCGTCGTCTTTTCCTTACGGTGTTGCCAGTGATAACACTAGATAATGAGATTCCGTCTCCATCGTAAATCAGGGGCCACTCTCCGGCTGTATAATTAGGTTCACTTTGAATTTTTAACGATCTTTGAGCATCGAGATTGTATCATCTTATTATCGTTTGACGGCAGTGAAATCAGATTTGCAATTAAATCTGAGATTCATTAATTAATGCACTGAGGATTGCGCGAAAATAACGCGAAGGTTTCCATCAAATATTTCCAATCAAATCTTCTCTCACTCACATAATTTATGATACAAAAATATCAAATACGTCGCGTAAGTGTTTGATGATTCTTCGATAAATTTAACGATATCGATTCGAGGAGAGAAGTAATAAGGCAAGGTTTGTCGACCGAGGCGATCGTAAAACCGGTAGGCGCGCGATGCTGTTCGACCTCGGTCGCTTGTCCTTCCGGTCACGCGAAGTCCGGTTCGAGGACTTTAAATACCCAGGCGGCGGCTTCGACGTTAATTGGTCGGTCGAAGGTGGTTCCAGCTGGACGGGGAACTTGTTCGCCGATCGGACATCTAGCGCGGTCAGGATGTCGTGCAAGCTAGACACGATGCTAGAAGGATTGCCCGAAAGGACTAATCCAGCGTTATTCGACAATCCTCAATGATTACAAAGTCTATCAGTGTGATAACAAGACGGGCAGTATGATCGACGAGTATGTACTGAAGGTGAAGACAATGAGTCACGCTCGCCGCCTTTGTCGAAAGATGCTAATTAGGGTAATGGCGCGGCACTTGATCATCTAGCATATATCTTCCATAATCGAGAGAATTATACGTCTAACGAGAAGGCACTTATGTTTGAGAATTACGCGAGTTAATTACGATAATATTCTTGCGAAAACATTTTAATGAGGTCCACCGCGGCGCCCGTTTCAAGTGCCTTTTTTGCGACGCGAAGTGAGAACAAATCGCGCTATCTCCCGCAGTCATTTGCTCTAACGGCGAGCGACGGCCCGTAATCGAGCGTGTAATCCCGTTGCTTTCAATTTCGCCGAATCGCCGTGCAATCCTGTCCCGAGGAGGGACACCGAGCCACTCGGATACCCGGCGTCTCCGCCGTGGCTCGTTCTTACGCTTTTAAGGACGAACGGGAATAACAGAGAAATGCAGTGGGATTATCCCGCGCATGCTTCTAGCAGTGAGAGCTTTGTGGAGCCGCGAAAGCTCCACACGTCAGCTTATTTTCCGCGACGCGATTACCCTCTCCGCGTTAACCGACATCACGCTCCAGAAATCAAGGTTCGAAAAGGAACTGCTGATATTGGTTGCCGGTGGAAGTCGAGCAGCTGCGAGGTAAGAGTAAGTGCGTGCCACCGTTTGATTTTCCTAGAAACGCTGTCTTATATATTCTCGAAGAGGAGAGAAAAAAAAACGGCGGAGCAAGAAGAAAAGGAAAAAGATAAACGGAAGATAACTCCTCAGAGATTACGTGATTACTCGGTTGATCAAGCCGGCCGTAATCCATTCTGCCAGAAGTTTACCACCGCCGGAAAGAAAAACATTCCATCATCTATAGTTGGGGAGGAAAAGCACTTATAGACTATAAGTCGCGAGGCAGGAAGTTGTTTGTTCAAGCCCGCGAATTTTCCGAGGCACGAACAGGTCGCGGGAAAAGTTGCGCGTCAGAAGAAATAAATTTACCTTTTTCCAATAATATCGACGTCCTCGCGCTCAAATCGCGTAATTCAACGCTCGGCGCTGCATCGACGTTAGTTCATTAACTTGTTACGTAGTTGCATGGCCGACGTTCGATATCCGCGCTATCGATTTTCAGTCGACTTCGATGGCCGAGCGACGCGACGTGGAGTATCTTCGCGGATACAAGCTAATACTCTTCCGTCGAGTGTTTTCTCTCTCTCTCT